GCAATTGACCTTTTTCAGACAATTTTTGCATGCAAAAGCTAATTTTTCAGACAGAAAGTATGTCTCAATGTCACTTAAAAAATGAAATTTGCATGCAAAAATTCCTCCAAATTGGAAGATTGCTCTTTTTAATTATTTCTGTCTGTCCGAACTTTTTGCAACTCTCTATATATGTCAAAATGGATTAATTGCTCTTTTTAAATAATTCTGTCTGTCCGAGTTTTTTTGCAAATCTTTATTTGTCAATTGCTTTTTTAAACTATTTTTTTCAGTCCAAAAATTTTGCGACTAATTATACAAAATTTGTTTGATTTTTTTGACTGATGTTTTGCTGAAGTCAAGTAATCACCATTTTTGCCTAATCACTTAGTCATGGACTTTCAACTACGCCCAGAAATCAATTTGGTTCAACATCTATTTACTTCAACCAGGCTTATAATTTGTTCATTTTGAGTTCTTTACATTCCAATTAGCAAACTTTGCCCTTTAAATCTATCGTACAAGTTTGTACTAATTTAATCTTACTAATTTAAGCTGATCTACGAATTAATTTGAAAGACTTTCTAACCAAACGAGTTTGAAAAAGTTCAACCTACATTTTTCATCGAATTGAATTTTTTTTAAGTTTGATAAAATCTTCTTTTAGTTTCAAGCATGGCAAATAAACGGTTTTTGATTATATTTTTTCTTATTTCCTGTCAAAACTATTTTTGTTTCTCTCTAAATGTACTCATAGCTATGCCATGCGTGGGCGGTCATTTTGGAACAATGGTTTCAAATTTAGTGCCGATTTGTGAGCGACATAACTGCACGGTGGTTGAACTTGCCAAAATTTGTGAACAAAAATTGAAGCCATTTCACGAACTCGTAAAATTCCAAGTGATCAAAAAACACGTTTGCCGAGACGAATACACGTTTCATGGAAGTTTGGACTTTTTCCTGAAATTTTGCCACTACGCCAAAGAAGTTTTCGAGAAAACTTACAACGAATTTTCAAATATTCTCCAAGAAAGAAGGTCCGATTTTGACATTATGCTTGTGGATCAGATCTTCTGGTCTCTTTTAGCTGTCGCTGAAAAATACGATTTACCAGCTATCGTTCAAGTTCCAGGTATAACAGGTGGATTGGAACACGTTCAAGACAAAATGCCAATTCCAGTAATTGATGGAATAGTTTTCAAACTAGTTTTTAATGATTGTTGGAATTGGTTACATGAAAAACGAAAATTGAACGGTTTACCTGAAATTGACGTTCAGGGTCAATTCAGCGCTACGGAGTATGTGGATCGGTTTCCTATGTTTATTCCCACATCGCCTAGTATTTACAAAAACCCGCATCCAAACTCTGAATTTGTTTTCATCGGCGGTTTCAGAAACAGTTCTAATCATCAGCAGTTAGAGAACAAGATGACAAAATGGATCGACGAAAGTGAACTAGACATCGTTTATGTTTCTTTAGGAACGCACGCAGCTCTTGACGAAGCTGAAATGAAAAAGTTCTATGAAAAAGTTCAAAATCAGAATAAGTACCGAATCATATGGTCGCTTGGCCTCGGCTTACAAACAATTGCTAAAAATCTTGGAATATTTTTCACTGCTAGTGAAAAAATATACTTTAGTGATTATTTACCTCAATATAAATTACTGGGTCATCCGAAAGTTAAACTTGCCGTAAGTCATGCAGGTTTAGGAACAATGATAGATTTGATAAAACGAAGAAAACCTTCAATTCTAGCGCCTCAATTTTACGATCAGTTTATGAACACGATTATCATGGAAAAATTAGATTTGGGAATTTCTATTTCTTCTCTAAACTTCGAAGAAGTTGATTCGGCAATAACGAAAGTTATGTCAAATTATGACCATTTCACTGAAAACTTGGCAAAAATTGACGAAGAGTTTTTGCAATATGAAAACTTTGAACTAATTAATGATTTCATTGTCAAAATAGCTGAACGAAAAAAAATTTCAGTCAGATATTTGCTCGGATATGAAGTTAACAGTCCGAGAGTATATTCAGCTTGGCGATATCTTCAGCTGTTCTGTTGCGTAGTGATATGTGGATTTTTTATTGTCGTGCTTATGATTGTTAAAAAATGCTGCTACCATGGCGGTATGAATGAAAAGAAACAAAACTAAAATAGTTATAAACTAACTTTTATTTTATTTAATTCTATCAACAATACTCTCTGTATCTGCATTTTGTCGTATAACTTACTTCACCCATAAATAATTTTTTTGGAGCTACAATCTTTTAATGAGTGAATTAATATTGATCTATTACTATTTTTAATCGTATTCAATTCCTGAGACATTTCAATAATTTTATAAATCTTGAACATGCTTTATAAAACCATTTTTGTTTCAACTAGCCAAAAATGCGCGTCTATTGCTGAGCGTAAGCACGGCCAGGCCATTTTGAGAGAAATTGAATTATTATGGATCTCTTTTTGCTAATATTTCTCTCTTGGACCTTTCTGCTCAATGCTCCGATCACGGCAACTCTACAAAAGTTCCGGACTTAATTGAGTTTTCAGCCTTCATATATTTGAATAAGTGAATCTTCCAACTTTTGCAGAAAAGGACTATATAAATTTGCTTGGAGTGTTTTTTTAAGCAGACAAATTTTGACTTTTTGTCTTGCAATTTTTTGAATTTTTTTAACAGTCTGATATATTTTGATGCTTTAAGCTGAAAAGCACAATGCAAAAAACATGTCACTTTCAAGTGTTTTTCCTACATCTATGAATGTTTGAAAGTTACCAATTCGGAATAAAAAAGTAAGCGAAGTTTTCAATTTTCTTTTAACACGTAGCGGAGGCGGCAAACTATCTGGCACAGAACTAACTCCAAATTAAATGCAGGCCATCTAATTGATTCAAATGCTGCGTTAAAAAGATATAAAGAAAATCATTTTTTTTTCTGGACTGCGTGTGGGCTATGATGTAGAAAAGTTAAAAAAAGTTGTTGTTTGATTTTTTTTGACAACTGGTGTTATCTTCAGAATTTTGCCCTAATAAGAGCAAAAAACGTCAAATAGAATTGGAATTCTCTAACCTTGCTTCTAAGATGAACGGTTTTGAAAACAATGTCCCAAAACAATTAAACACTAACAAGGCTGCTCGTATCACGGCGAAGCCCTGAATGTTCCGACTGCCTTTTAAGATCTATGGAGCAGTAAAAACATGAAAAAAAAACAAATATAGTAAAAAAAAAATAATTTTTTTAATTTGAGATTTTTTAAAAAATCATCGCCCACATGCCATATAAAGTACAAAGTGATAGATTTTGCTCCGTTAAATGTCCCAAAATGGCCAAAATGGCAATCTTTAAACCGTCATAACTTGACATTAAAAACGAATCACAGGTGAAATATCTTTTCAAATTTGAGCTCAGAGCAGCAATACCTGAGAAATTGCGTCGTAAAAAATTGCTAGCTAGAAAGACGAATTTTTGTATGAGGAAAAAAACCACCCGATCACAAATATTCCGATATTTTCGTTATTAAAGTCAGAAAAACTCAATTTTGAGCTGACTTGTCATTTGAGGATTCTGGCTAACAATATTTGAGAAATAGGTTGACTTATCTATTTGGCTTCAAAAAAAAACAAGTATTTGAGCAAAAATTCAATAGTTTGTTAAAGGGTAGAGAAGTCGAAATTTTTTATTTGAGAGTAACTTTAAATTACAGTTATTGGTAAAATTTGATGGCTACTTAATTTGATGAAATCAAAGACAGTAACAAAAAACTTGAAAACTGATGGTCAAAAATTTTCATACAATAAAAAATTCTGGGTGACAACTTTTGTATATAAAAAAATGCTCGGGATAAGAGTTTTTAAATCTATAAAAAATGACTGAAATTGTATGATAATTAGAGTACAAGCGATTTTCGTCAAAAGATTTTTTCTAATAAATATTAACAATTCTGTAATTGTAACTGTAATTAACAATTGTACTTGCGATGCATATTAAGGGCTACTAGGGCTACACGCAACCCTAGTCAATCAAGTGGGGTTATCTTGCATGGTCTTGCAACATTCTTGTGTTTGAAAGTTATCTTGCAAAATTTTGCATAATGGAGGTTATTTTTCAAGATCTTTGAAGAGGGAAGCTATGTTAGCAAAAATTTTGCAAGAGGGAGGCTATCTTGCACCAATCTTGCTAGAACTTGCAAGATAATCATTCTAAAAATTTTGTCTTAAAACAAAAATAACAGGAAGTAAGAGTATGATGAGTAGAAGTTGATTCTAGAACGAGAACTCAAACTTTTTTCGTGTTGGTATGAAAAAAGTTGTTTTTATTATGGTAAAAACTGACCATTTGAATCGCTATATTTTGTGTAGAGTTCGCTTTCGATGAATCCTGTGTGTTCTTTTGCTGGATATTTCAAGAACCTTGCGAAATATTTTAAAGAGAAGCATCTTCTTCTGAAGAATTTTGCAAGATTCTTGCCAGATCTTGCAAGATAAACTCCCTTGATCGACTAGGGAAGACCCTTGATTGTGGATCTGTAGATCAATTAGTGATCTCCCAAGCATAAAAAAGTTTATTGAGATGTCATTTATAGTGTTGTTTTTGTATTTTTTGGCTTACAGCACATTAAACGGCATATAATTTTGCATTTGGATATTGTTGGTATCAAAAAGATTTTAATAAAGCTAACACATTTTTTTGATATTTTATTTGACTCAGTGTAAAAAGTCCAAGGTACGCAGAGATCAGTCGTTTCAAAAAAGTTTATATAACGATGATATCCTTTGGAACCCTTCCTTTAAAGTACCAGTTTTGATTTTTCCCTATACCCAGTGCTGCCATCTTCTTACAATAAAACTATTGTTTTTTTGCCTTCTGAAGATGGTTTGTTGAATGAAAATGAAAATATTTATTAATTTTATAACGCAAAGGCTACTTATTAAAAAACTTAGAAGGCATGAAATTTTCTGACTGAAACAAAGTTTGGTCTTATTTTTTGCTAATACAAGCCATTGTTTCTACAGGCAGTGTGAAAGAGTACACTTATGATGGTGAGTCTAATCAGGTGCAGGAGTACCTGGGAATCCCCTTTGCTGAGCCACCGGTGGGGGACTTGAGATTCAAACACCCTGTCAGGAGATACCAACTCTCCGACACTGGAAGGTGGGTGCTTTGGATCTACTTAACAATCTCCACCCCTTTCAAGAAAGGGGGGGGGGGGGGGGGAGATTGTTAAGTAGGTCAAAATGGTCGATTTTTCAACCAATCAGAATGCAGCAAAATTATAATTCTCAATCGAAAACTCAGTGCTAATTTACTGTATTTATTCATAGGGGTGGAGATTCTTAAGTAGGTACCATAGGGGGGGGGGGAGATTGTTAAGTAGATCCGGTGCTTTTCACGGCTAGCTATTTTCAACTGAGGCGCAACAGAAACGGTTCTCCATAAAAAGTTGAAGAGCTTGTATGTTAGTTCTTAGTTATCTCTTTAGGGTAACTCGTCTTTTATTCTTTATTTTGTTGAGGGCGTACAAATGAGAACAGATGAAAATTTTCACCCGAACACATTTTAAAGTTTTTGTGTGCTGACTGATTTCACTCTTATTTCTGCCAAGTTTTGATATCTGACTGAATTCTGATTGGCTAAAAAACATTAGTTTTTTCGATGTTTTGATTAGAAGAGATATTCTTCCTTTTTACGTTTTGTCATGGATGCCAAAATCAATGGAAATCAACTAAAGCGAAAAGTTTTACTTCTACTAGACATGTGAAAAAAATCACCGAACTTAAATGGATGTTAAACAGCCACTTGAGTCTTACAAAAGGTGCCATAACTATTTTAAAACAAGTTTGTGCATTTGTTTTAGTAATTCCTGGAAATCAAAGAGTCATTTTAGTCGCTAAGTTTATTTATAGCAACAATTTTTAATAAAATTCAAAGAAAAGCGAAAATAATGAACAAAATTATAAAAGCAAAACGAAAAAAATCAGTGCGAAAAAAATTGTTCTCTTGGTATTTATTTCTTTTGTATAAATGAAACTAATATGGAAGTTATTTGTCCCAGACTGAATGCAACCCGATTTGGACCTGCCTGCCAGCAGATAGCAGACTCCACCTTCGACAAAGAGCAGGAAAAGATTCGACAGGCAGCAGACATGTGGAATGTCAAGGTAAAATACGGGAGAGGGGGCGTATTTTCGAAATGATAAAAATCCTACCGAAAACTAACTCTCAAAGTACCTTCATTACGAGTCCAAACTGGTATTAGGCCAGAATTGTGTCCACATGACTGTGGAATAAAAAAAGCTTTTCCCGCTTTGGAGTTTCCTGGATAAAAATCAATTATTTCAAACTTTCCGAATCTTTAAAATTCAAAAATCTATAACATTCATTGTCCGATTCTTTTAAATTCAAAAATATTCAAACGATAATTGATTGAAAATTGATTCTAATCTTACTATTTTTAATAACTTATAATTCATTATAATATTTTTGATCTTTTTTCCAAAATTAGTTTGGTATTTTCAAAACTTGACAGTTGCTTCTGGCTTAATACACGCTGCATTAAATGAGATTAACTTCAAAAAATTCTTAGAATCAGAAAGTTGTTATCTTTATTTCTCTGTTCACAATTTCTATTAAGTTTTTTTAGTTTTATTTCTTTTATTTCCTGCTCACAGGGGCGGATCTAGGATTTTCTCGAAGGGGGTGGGGGCGGACTTTCAAATACTTTCAAAAATTTTGTCGACTTTTTTTAGGTCGTCCAAAGCAACTTTTCGAGCTCTCCCAATCCACCCACTAAAAGACCCAGTTTTGGCCAAAATATCTGCAACGCAGGAAATAATTTGAAAAAACGCCAAAAATAGCGTTTTTAAGCCTTTTTTGGTAAATGTTGACCAAAAATTGTGTTTTTTTGCCCCCCCGTCAAAATTACTATATCAAAAATTAAGGGTCCGTCAGCAAAAAATGGAAATCTCAAAGTAGTATAAAAGAGGACCCTTTGGGTCGACAGGGGGTCGAATCCCTGAAGGAAAGCTTCCACAAACTGGATTGCAATCATTTAGAATGGAGTATAATTGATTTTTTAAATATTGCAAATAAGCAATTTAAATCCCCTGAAAACCCACATTCATGAAACTCTTTTGCTGGTTTAACATGTCAAAATTTGTTTCCGAATTGTCGTACAGTGCTAAATCAGTTCGTGAGAGTTAAAGTTCTATCGGTCAATCAGTTGTCAAACGTGGTGCTAATTAGTCTATTGGCAGGTGCTGACCTTGGTATTGTCTGTCACGCTTGGTTGACCTCTATGATCACTCTTAGATATAACTTTGTGAGATTAACTTACTACTCATTGGATTTTACTTATTCATTGAATCACGTTTTCAACATGGCGCAGTCACCAGTGCCAATTGGGGGAAAATCCACTTGGTATCACCGGATTCTGGCCATCGAAATGCATTGAACCGCGAATGCTATGTGATTTCCGGATGAACAGATTTCAATGGGAAATGGTGGCAAAGCACTCGATCAACCCGAAAAATTACTACTTCGCAGCGAACATTACTGAAACCCAAATCACCGCTTTGCCAGGGAAAGTCGACGGAAAGAATCGATTAGAATCAGAACAAAACAAATATTAATTTCAAACTTTTACTTGTGTCTGGGTGAAAAGGGACAGGACGAGTTGCACAAAAGACGACCACACTTGGAACTCTCAACGATTCGTTAACCCAGGATGTCAGACATACTGGAGGCGGAATTCAAAAAGGAAAGGAACGGGACGTATGAGACATTCCAACTTCTCTCTCGAAAACAATTTATCAATGAAAGTCTTGAGCAGTTTCACTCTGTTTTAAGTGGGCTTGCGGCCCGATGCAACTTTGGAGCATTGGAAGATTGAATCCTCAGGGACGTATTCATTGTTAATATGAACAACCGCGAAGCGCAAAATGAACTGTGCCGATCCAGCAAAACACCGGAAGTTGTGTACAGGATTGCCCTCTCGTATGAGCGGGGCGACAAGTACGCTAAATCCTATGTAGCAACGTCCGTCGGGGGAATTACGGGAACTCAGGGATCATCAGGGGGGGTGATCTAAATCAAATCCGAACCGGTCGGAATTATACGAGGAGGATTCCGCAATGGTCGTCAAAGGGGCAGAGGCACGTACCACGGACGAGGTTCGAACCGGGGGGGATATGATCCAAAACAATCGATGCTGCAACTGCGATCATCCAAATTTCACACGAGAACACATGGACAAATGTCCAGCGAGAGAAGCCAGTTGCAATTTTTGTTGTAAAATAGGACACTTTGAAGGTACCTGCAGGGGGAAGCGTGGAAAGCAGCGAGGACGAGGAGCAGTGGGAATGACTTGTGAAAATGACGACAACACACATCTAGGGGATCTGGAAGATGACCAAGCGTCCTAACACGCAAGTTCTATCGGATGGGTGAATAGGAATAAACCAGTGGTACATTCATGGGACTCGAGCAGCTCGGATGGGGGCTAGATGGTAATGGCGGTGAAGCACAAGAGATTCACTGAGCTGAAAATTGCTGGGGCACAACTGCCGATTCGGATAAGTGGGATAGCTAGTCGGGTTCGAATCGACAGTGGGTCCTCAATATCTATCTTCACCATCGGGGAACTACGACGAACTCTTGGAGTTTCGGAACTAAAACTAGACGCAATCTCGAATGAGGATATTGCATTTCGGGATTATGAAAATAGTCCGTTAGAGCTTATTAGAACAATGACTGTCACCTTGGAATCAAATGGTTGGAGATTAAACGCGAGGATAAAGGTCTCCCAATCCACCCACTAAAAGACCCAGTTTTGGCCAAAATATCTGCAACGCAGGAAATAATTTGAAAAAACGCCAAAAATAGCGTTTTTAAGCCTTTTTTGGTAAATGTTGACCAAAAATTGTGTTTTTTTTCCCCCCGTCAAAATTACTATATCAAAAATTAAGGGTCCGTCAGCAAAAAATGGAAATCTCAAAGTAGTATAAAAGAGGACCCTTTGGGTCGACAGGGGTCGAATCCCTGAAGGAAAGCTTCCACAAACTGGATTGCAATCATTTAGAATGGAGTATAATTGATTTTTTAAATATTGCAAATAAGCAATTTAAATCCCCTGAAAACCCACATTCATGAAACTCTTTTGCTGGTTTAACATGTCAAAATTTGTTTCCGAATTGTCGTACAGTGCTAAATCAGTTCGTGAGAGTTAAAGTTCTATCGGTCAATCAGTTGTCAAACGTGGTGCTAATTAGTCTATTGGCAGGTGCTGACCTTGGTATTGTCTGTCACGCTTGGTTGAACTCTATGATCACTCTTAGATATAACTTTGTGAGATTAAGTTACTACTCATTGGAGTTTACTTATTCATTAAATCACGTTTTCAACATGGCGCAGTCACCAGTGCCAATTGGGGGAAAATCCACTTGGTATCACCGGATTCTGGCCATCGAAATGCATTGAACCGCGAATGCTATGTGATTTCCGGATGAACAGATTTCAATGGGAAATGGTGGCAAAGCACTCGATCAACCCGAAAAATTACTACTTCGCAGCGAACATTACTGAAACCCAAATCACCGCTTTGCCAGGGAAAGTCGACGGAAAGAATCGATTAGAATCAGAACAAAACAAATATTAATTTCAAACTTTTACTTGTGTCTGGGTGAAAAGGGGCAGGACGAGTTGCACAAAAGACGACCACACTTGGAACTCTCACCGATTCGTTACCCCAGGATGTCAGACGTACTGGAGGCGGAATTCAAAAAGGAAAGGAACGGGACGTATGAGACTTTCCAACTTCTCTCTCGAAAACAATTTATCAATGAAAGTCTTGAGCAGTTTCACTCTGTTTTAAGTGGGCTTGCGGCCCGATGCAACTTTGGAGCATTGGAAGATTGAATCCTCAGGGACGTATTCATTGTTAATATGAACAACCGCGAAGCGCAAAATGAACTGTGCCGATCCAGCAAAACACCGGAAGTTGTGTACAGGATTGCCCTCTCGTATGAGCGGGGCGACAAGTACGCTAAATCCTATGTAGCAACGTCCGTCGGGGGAATTACGGGAACCCAGGGATCATCAGGGGGGGTGATCTAAATCAAATCCGAACCGGTCGGAATTATACGAGGAGGATTCCGCAATGGTCGTCAAAGGGGCAGAGGCACGTACCACGGACGAGGTTCGAACCGGGGCGGGGGGATATGATCCAAAACAATCGATGCTGCAACTGCGATCAACCAAATTTCACACGAGAACACATGGACAAATGTCCAGCGAGAGAAGCCAGTTGCAATTTTTGTTGTAAAATAGGACACTTTGAAGGTACCTGCAGGGGGAAGCGTGGAAAGCAGCGAGGACGAGGAGCAGTGGGAATGACTTGTGAAAATGACGACAACACACATCTAGGGGATCTGGAAGATGACCAAGCGTCCTAACACGCAAGTTCTATCGGATGGGTGAATAGGAATAAACCAGTGGTACATTCATGGGACTCGAGCAGCTCGGATGGGGGCTAGATGGTAATGGCGGTGAAGCACAAGAGATTCACTGAGCTGAAAAATGCTGGGGCACAACTGCCGATTCGGATAAGTAGGATAGCTAGTCGGGTTCGGATCGACAGTGGGTCCCCAATATCTATCTTCACCATCGGGGAACTACGACGAACTCTTGGAGTTTCGGAACTAAAACTAGACGCAATCTCGAATGAGGATATTGCATTTCGGGATTATGGAAATAGTCCGTTAGAGCTTATTAGAACAATGACTATCACCTTGGAATCAAATGGTTGGAGATTAAACGCGAGGATAAAGGTCATCGGCGGAAACCGCCCATCTATAATCGAAAGGGACTTGATGCCTCAGTTGGGACTGCAGTTGGTGCAGCAAACGTCAGGGGACCAGATAATGTCAATTGATGAGGAGCCAATGGAGCAATCTCAGCAAGATGGGGAGCTGAACTCATGGCGGTTTTACTTCAAAAAGCAGTTTCCAAATCTTTTTAACAGGGTAGAGGAGATAAGAAATTATGAAGTGCAAGCAGAGTTTTTTGAGAATCTAACACCAGTACAACAGAAGGTTCGAGGGGTCTCAATTACTTTGCAAGAAAAAGTGTATACGGAAATTGACAAGCTACTGAAACAAGGTCACATTGAGAAATGGAAGAATGTTCGGATAAATCGTAATAACAGTGAACAAAGACGGCTCGGTAAAACTAAATAAACAAGTGCATAAAAATAAATACCAAATGCCAAATATCGAGGAATTAAAGGACACCGTGAGACAAAGAATCAGCGAGAATAAACCGGGGGATATTTTTTTTACAACAATGGATTTAACGTACGCATATGGTCAGTTAACTTTAAATGCGGAAACAAGCGTACAATGTAATTTTTCTCTTATCGGAGGTCGGTCAACGGATACCTACAGTTTCAAGACCGGATTCTATGTTCTCACCATGATGCCGACCGAATCCCAGCGAGCAATGGATTGTATCCTGTCCGAACTTCCGCAAGCGCATGCGTTCATCGACAAAATTTTGGTAGTAACCAAGGGAGCCGAGGTCGATCACATAGCAACGATAGAGAAAAAACTCAAAAAACTGGACAAGGAGAATATGTCGTTAAAACTAACGCAATGCAAATTCGCACAACACGAATGTGAATGGCTAGGTCACAAAATAACACCAACAGGAATAACACCCTTTTGCGAAAAAAAGAACCAATAGAAGCGCTGAAACCGCCGCGGACTCTAACGTAGTTGAAGTCGTTTATGGGGTCAATACACAGCCTCCACAAGTATTTGCCAGCGTTGGCCGAATCTTCCGCACCATTACGTCCGCTATTAAGTGAAAGCAATGATTACATTTGAATGCCGGAAGGTCAATGCGCATTTAAAAATTTAAAGAAACAAGTTTCCAATTTTGTTGAACTGCGGCATTTCGATTTTCACAAAGATATACGAACTGTGTGCGTTGCGAGCCATAACGGCTTAGGCGCGGTACTCGAACAATTGGGAACGGAGGAAATTAGGGCTGGCGGACCACTTATCACGACATCCAATTAAAGAAGCAACACCAATTATTACGTACGATAACATGTTCACAGTTGCAAAGATTAATTCAATATGAACCGCTCTCGGTTTTGTTCAAAGTAACGCATCCAGGGGACACGAATTTTACAAAAATACGTCCAAGGGACCAAAGATCAAAGCACATAACCAACAATCTATAGAAAGATTCGAAATTTCGTTACGCATTCAGCCAGTATGCGAACGGAAATTAACCAATCGGAATTGAACACATGGCTCAAACCAACGGCTACGCAATATACGCGAGAACTTAGTCGGTGCTATTACTCAATTGGAAGAAAATCATTTAAATTCAAATTCAAAAACTCACACTCAAATGGACCGAAGTATGAAGAAATGGGAGAAATTTTAAAAACAGTATCCAAGCTTAGACCGTAGCAGTGACGAAAAAGAAGAATTACTATCGAGTTTACATTTAGAAGCAATTACAAAAGAAACTAGATCAATTAGAACAAACACTACTTTATCGTTACCATCAGCGTTTAAAGGCGAAAAAATCCACCAGTGAATCTGAATACGGTGTGTATGTCAAATGTACCCCGCGGTTACAAGATAGTAAGCAAGATCACTTCACTTCCTGAGTTTTTTAACTCACAATTCATCGAGTCAAATTAAGTTTCCGATCCTCAACTCAGTGCAATGAGAGATTCAATCAAAACAAAGGACCCCAAAATTCACGAAAGAAGGTCAGCCATGAACCGCTATTACTTTCAGTTCGTAAGCAATTTCTACGTGAAGGAAAATGTTGTTTGGATGGACGAAAAGCTGGTTATACCAATGAACCTCCAAACCGCAATCATTAACAGAAATCACGCCTTTCATCACGGAAAGACAAACATTTTTGACGCTGCCAAGACGTCTGGTACCCCTACATTTACCGGTCAATCGCCTCAATTGCGGAAAACTGTCCAGAATGTACTCCGGCTGGTAAGAACTTAAGTAGCCCGGAAGTCCCTTATAAGTAAAAACCAACTTGGAAACATTTCCGAACCAAAAGAGCCGAACGAGTCGGTCCAGCTTGATTTCTGGGGCCCTATTAACTATTTAAACGAGTCTCAGAAATATGTGTTATGGCAGTAGATAGTTTTTCACGGTGGCCGTCAGCGATGGTCTGTAGAAACAGCCGGTCAGATAAGATCATGAAATTTTTAAAATCATAAATAGTAAACCCTGGCGTACCCAGGAAGACCCACGTTGACCAGGGAACAAGTTTTATGTCAAATGAAGTCAAGGTTTTCTGCAATGGGGAGATTATCGAAATAATAAAATCACCAGTAAATCACCATCGGGCATCCGAATGTGTGGTGCGCACCCTTGGAAGTTTTAAGAATTCGATCACGACATTTGTACAGGAAAAACCCACCGAATCGTTGGAAAAGAAGATCAAACGAGCCCTGGGTGCTCTGAGATTTTCGAAGAATGCAACGCTTAAAATTTCGCCATTCGAGGCACATCACGGTCGAGAAGCGAATACAGTGCTAAGGAACCCTACAAAAAAAACCCTCTTCAAAACCTGGATTGATATCGAGTACTAAAAACAAGGAATGCTTGTTTAGATGAAGCTGACCCGAGTGTGAGGGATATGCCGCATCCTGCTCAGACGAACTGGGGGGAAAGGTTTGACCTGGCGTACGACATTAAACACCGGCGCCATGCTCGTAGCTTAATGGATGGGCAGGCCGGAAACCAGGATGACGAACCATCCATCATTAAAGCGGCGGAACAGCCCAAAAACCAGGATCTTCTGAAACCTTGTACCAGCGAATTGGAATCAAAAATTTGAAAAGGTATAAGCAAATCCATTCAAAAACAAAATCACAGAGTGCGCATACGTCAATGCTAAGCAACGGGGTTGTACTTAGGAAATCCAGTGTGGCAATAAAAACAAAGCCGAAGAAATCCTTACCGTACCAAGCACCACCGACCCTGCAATAAGTGAAGGAGCGAGCCAGGGTAAAAATCAACGCCGGAAAGCAGCAGCAAGAGAAACAAATCGGATGACGGTTTGCAAACAGCGGGTCGGAGTCGGAGGAAAGCGATTACTTACCAATCATATCGGTAAAAAGGTCCACAACAGTGAGCACTCAAGCAGGACCGTCACAAACCCAAACCACTCCTACAGAACCAACAAGCAAACAGGCACAACGAGAACTGAAAAGCAAACTGAGCGACAAAACCAATAATACAGTACCAGACACGGGAAGCGATGAGGACACGATTCCCGCACTAGGCGTCGAAACTGATATACAAACTCCACGGGACCAAAAAAATGCCTGCACCCGCGGATACAACGAAGAGGGAACCACGGAAAGCCCGACTGGTTTCTTACAGCAGCCGGGACGATAGTCAAGATGACACGGCGTCGAGAAGGAGCGGGCGGATAAGAACAGCTGTCACAAAAATGGGAGGCGTAATGATCGATTGCATAACAACCAAACATGATCGAGCAGAGGGAAAATAGTCAAAACTTACAAACTGAAATAAACTTATCTTGAGCCCAGGGAAAAGGTTGACCAGTATTGACCAAAAACTCAAATTGTTTTATCACCGCTGGGTGATCCCTTTAGTTTCTAAAACCGCTGTTATATTGAACTAGTTCATTAAGCTTTAAAAAATCACAGTCAGTAATTTCGTCAATTTTCATTAACTTTACAACCAACAGCATACAGTATTTTTCAGTCATTTAAAGTTTCCATTTTTGAAGGGGTAGCCTCGTACAGTGCTAAATCAGTTCTTGAGAGTTTAGGTTCTATCCATCAATCAGTTGTCAAACGTGGTGCTAATTAGTCTATTGGCAGGTGCTGACCTTGGTATTGTCTGTTACCCTTGGTTGACCTCTGTGGTCACTCTTAGATATAACTTTGTGAGATTAAGTTACTACTCATCGGAATTTACTTATTGATTGAATCACGTTTTCAACAGAATTCACAAACAAAATTTTTGTTACGTAAATTTTGTCGATCACTAAACGTGTTGCGAAACCCACAACAAGCGAATTGATTTAATTTTTTTTGAAAAACTGCCAGCTCAAGAAAATGAAAGTTTTGAGTTCAAAAACTGTACATCACAAAAAATACATTTTTGTCAACTTCTAGCCAGAAACCTTTCAAATTTGAGCACAATTGAGAACCAGGGTTGACCGCCATACATTAAAAATCCTTATAAATAGCTTATTTCGGGAGCTTATTCTCATATACAGGAAAGATATAACTAGCCTTTTTTGCGAAATATGGATTGATTACACCGCGTTACAGCTTAAAAATTGCCCAAAATCAAATCTGTGAAATTTGAGCACAATTGAGAACCAGGGTTGACCGCCATACATTAAAAATCCTTATAAATAGCTTATAAATAGCTTCAAATATAAATAGCTTCAAATTTGAGCACAATTGAGAACCAGGGTTGACCGCCATACATTAAAAATCCTTATAAATAGCTTATTTCGGGAGCTTATTCTCATATACAGGAAAGATATAACTAGCCTTTTTTGCGAAATATGGATTGATTACACCGCGTTACAGCTTAAAAATTGCCCAAAATCAGTTCTGTGAAATCCTAAAACTTATAAATTTTTCTCTAAAACATTGGCCAATTGCTCAAAATTTCAAAAAAAAACCAACTTACTTAAGTTTGATTTCATGTAATACCTAAGTTTGATTTTTAAGCTTCTATATGCTATAGCCCGAGTACCAAGCGGACGAGGACTGCCTGACCTTGAACATGTGGGTGCCCCACCAGCCCGAAAAGAGGGGGGCTAAGTACCCTGTCATGGTGTGGATCTATGGGGGAGGATTCTTCTCGGGCGCCTCCCACTTGGGTTAGAGGAGTTTCATGATTGTTCACGCGTTTTATTGATTTACTTGAGTGTAATTTCATAACTATCCGCATCCAAGTTTTGTCGTAAGTAATCGATTAAAACGGATTAACTAGACAAAAAACTCAATTGGTTTGATTAGTATTCAAGGTAGCAAGTGTCTCTTGTCTTGGAAGGAGATAATCTAGGATTTTCCAGAGGGGCTGAGTTCTTCGCTCCTTCATTTTTCAAGTCTCAATTTGGACCAATTTTAGGTTATTTTCAAATCTTAATTTGGACCAATTTTATGTTAATTTTCAAATTTTAATTTGGACCAATTTTTTTATCGATAGAAGATCGGCAAAATGAAGAAAGGTAACGAGCTTAAGAAAGTTTCAAGCTAGCGAGCACAAATCGTGAATCTCTACTAGGGTGGGGGATGTACGGTTGCCCTGAGCTCCTCTATGACGAGCCTCGATTGAGTGGCCAAAACACGCATTGTAGACAACAACTTATGATTTTTGATCCAACTTGATCTTTTCAAACTGCTTCATCAATCATTTTTATGAAAAACTTCAGCCCTAATCGCAGAAAGTTGTTCTGGTTGCACAGAAAGCGACAGAAACATGCAGAAAATTTTTGTTCAAATAATCGGTTGGAAATTAAAAGCTGCTATTTGTGTTCCCGTGACGGTTTTTTAAAAAAATGGATTATTTATTTTCTTTTGTTTATGAGTATTTTTAAGACGCTGATTCCTTGAAAAAAAAATTAAAAATATGACGTTTTTTAGGTTTTGAAAGTAAGTTTCGAAGCTCAAATTATCTTTTGCTATTTGCTAGTAACCCAGCTTATAGAAGACAGACTATTTACAGAATAACTACTGAATTGAGATGATTTGAATTCTTTTTGGTAGTCATTAACAAATTAATGAAAAAACGCTATACGGAATGAAAAAAACGCTATGCGCTAATTATGAAAAAAAATACAATGACTAGAATAACGTAAAACGTTTTCAAACTTCCCAAAAACTTGAAGCTAAGTTGTAAAAGAATTTTAAATTTTGTTTCAGATGTCTACAATGGATATCGATTGTCAGCTCTGGAGAAAGTTATTGTCGTCACTTTCAACTACAGACTAGGTAAGGAAACCCCCCCCCCCCAACGAAATTGAAACAAATAACTTTCTGCAAAAAACTTTAGGTGTTCAAAACCTAGAAAAAGTAACAAGAAGGCCAAATTTTCTCAGAAAAACCTGAATCTCAAAATCTAAAGCAATTTTCAGTTTTTAGGCTTTTGAAAAGCTTGACAAAGTTTAATTTAAAATAAATTAGTAAATGTTCACAAAGTACTTTTTTTCGCACCATTGAAGAACATTCCAGGTCTGTTCGGCTTTCTCTATCTGGACAACTACGACGCCCCTGGAAACATGGGGCTGTATGACCAACTGATGGCACTGAGGTGGGTGAGGGAGAACATAGGGGCATTTGGGGGGGACGTGGAGAGGATCACCCTGTTCGGAGAGAGTGCGGGCAGTGCCAGTGTCGGGTTCCATATGTTGTCGCCGCTGAGTCATCATTTGTTCACGTTAGTTAATCTCGTAGTTTTCACAAAATGGGAAGAAATTATGTCTAGGGTGAGTTAAAAGTGACCAAGTGTAGAATTGCGTTAGTGATTTGTCGGTGGAGATTCAGTTTTTTAAGAGCATGAACTGTTATCACGTAACTTCTCTTTTAATTAACAAATATGTAGTTGGGTCCCAAACAATCATTAATTTGTCAAAATATTTCATCACGTAACTTACCTGGAAGCCTTTTGAAACATTACGTATTCCATAGTTTATGATATATGATAATTGTTTCCGCCTATTTTCAGCTGAGTTTTTCAAATTTCAGTTTCTTTATCGACAATTTTTTGAAACAAATGTGGCAAAGACTTGGCTCTTCATATCGCTAATCAAATTAATAGTTTTTTTCGCATCCATTTTCAAAACAGTGCAAAGCTTCGAGTTTTTTTTTTTGGTTTATTATTTGCATTTATTATTTGCATTATTGAAACTCTTGCATTTATTATTTGCATTTATAAACTATATTTCTACCTTCTATATTTGATAAATTTTATATGTTTCATAGTCTCACAGATAAAACTCCGGGAAGATTTCATAAAGCATAATTATTTGAATATCTTTTCAGCAAGGTCTGACATTTATTTGAACCCTATTTCGTTTTTCATGTTTCAGCAATGGCATAATGCAGAGTGGCTCCCCCACTGCCCCCTGGGCCATAATGGACAGGGAGGAGATGCTGTTCCGCTCTCTGGGGGTGGCCAAGAGACTCAACTGCTACTCGGAGGGCGAGGAGAGAGACAGCAGGTCCAGGATAGGCCAGTGCTTAAGGAGACTGTCAGTGTCGGACATATTCAAAGCCACTGTCAGTCTCTACTCTGACTTTGCGGGCAAAAACAAAAACAGGTATAAGCATTTTTGCTTAATTTGGGACAAAATTTCCAGTTTTGAAAGCTTTAGAAATTTAACCGAATGTATAGTGACTACACTTATACAGTGCTGATTTAATGTATCTGGAGAAAACGAACAAAACTGGAATTTTAAATGGGATTCTAAAATCGGCGAAAACAAAAGCAAATTTGAGACATTTTTAGTTTCACTAATATTAAATTTGTTTTCAATAAGGGAACAATCTGTTTATTATTTCCCAAACATTTTCAAAAAAGAAGAACACCAAAATCTTGGAAAAACACCGAAAATGCCAGTTAGCTGCCTATCGAGTGGTGTCTTCAAGTTTAAGTATGGGTTTAGTTAAGACGATTACTCCACGGGGGAGGGACCAGCACACGAGCTGTTCAGCTCATTACGGAGAACATGGTTGTGCCCCTGTTCTTTGGTAATTTTTCCGAGTTGGGTAATGTTACTTCAACGCGCTGAGTACTGTTGTAAGAATTGGGTTAAATCTTGCATTTTTGGAAACCTTTTAAGTTTGGGTTTCTTTAAAGTTTGAGCTTCTTACTTCAAACAACACTCGGCTCTCAAAAATATTACAACGCACGCGCGCAACCTTACTTAAAGCTGAATTTTCACGTATCTGTTTTTGAGTTGTGAAATTGTTTACAAATGTTACCGCTTGTTTTTTAAAATCTTTTGTTTTTGTTTTACTTTTCATAGGAATTTGATTTTTTTTTGAAAAAAAAAAATAGAAAAAAATTTATATAATTTTTGACAAGGTGGCTTGACTTCCCAGTGGCCCCCATAGTGGACAACAGACTGATAGCAATGCACCCTGTCACCCTCTTGAGGTCAGGGGCATTCAAACAGAGTCCCCTCATGATAGGGTCAGTCAGCAACGAGGGCAGCTTCTGGCTATTATACTACAAGCCATACTTCAAAGTCAGGTATGTTTTGCACGACTACGTTTGCTGAATTGTACGTTTTTTTTAGATTTTCTGTGCGGTTTTTTTGTATGTTCACTTTCGCTCAATAACAATAATTTCATTTTTTTATTAAGATGATTAAATCGTGTCTGTACAAAACAGTCCCATACAAAACAGTCCAATACAAAACAGTCCGAAAAAACATAGCAAAGTACAAAAAAACAGTCCCATACAAAACAGTCCCAAAAATAGTCCAAAAAATAGTCCAAAAACAGTCCCATTGATCGAAGTGATAATTGTTCTAGAAGCTGATAAGTAAATTTATCTCATATTATTTTTTTACTATTGTTTACGCTCTGCTACCCGACAAAAAGGAATCAACTTATTGTCGCCTTCTCAGTATTCTTAAAGTTGATTCCCCAAAACGCGTCACAATTGATTTTGAAGTAGCTGTGCGAAACTCAATAATAGCTACTCATCAGAGTGCTCAAATTCAGTTTTGTTTTTTCCATATGAGTCAAAGTGTCTGGCGACATGTTCAGTCGTCAGGCAATACTCACAATTACAACAATGACCTTAATTTTCGCGAACTTATTCGAATGTTTCTCGCAACAGCATTTCTGCCCGTAGAGGACGTCCCCACAGCTTTCGAGCTTCTGCAAGGTATGGCATCTGAAGAAAGTCAACCGATTTTCAATTATATCGAGGACACATATATTGGTAGACTGACTTCTCAAGGACGACAGAAGCCCAGATTTGATATGGAGCAATGGAGTTGCCATCAAAGAGTAAAAAACGACCTTCCCCGCACCAACAACGCTGTAGAAGGTTGGAACAGCAACTTCGTGAAACTGGTCAATAGTAAGCATCCATCATTCCCAAAACTGATCGAGAAGTTCCAGGACGAGCAAAAAACGCGGAAATACTGTTGGAAAAAATGTGCGCAGGACAAAAAGCTGCCCCTGTTTGAGTTTTCAAAGCGTAGATCAATTCTGTCGGCGCCAAAAGATCAAGGTCATGAAATTCAACTGGTTTTGGACTGTTTTGTATGGGACTGTTTTTAGAGCCTTTTTTTGATGTTTCGGACTCTTTTGTATGGGACTGTTTTGTATGGGACTGTTTTGTATATGCACCGATTAAATTAGCTCTTAAATATTTATAGATAAGGCCAAACTGACGACGGTAGTTAATCTATTTAATCTTTCAATCAATCTTTCACGCATTTCAAGCGTCAAAATTGAGTAAAAAAGCTAAAATAGAGGAAAGGCACCTTTTGTCGACCAAATGATTTGCTCAAGGTCATCATGATATTGCCACCAATCGTTTGAGAATAAGGATCAAAAATTTAGATCTGACAACCTGTTGACGAGTGTACAATATGAGCAATCACTCGACACTATCTTCAACTTCAAGGACAAAAAGACACGAGAGGCCATCAAATTCGTCTACAGGTCAGCCATATGCAGAAACACATCTGCAACAAAAAACAAAAACAATTAGTTTCGTTTAAAATTATCAAAGAAGAAGCATTGGTTCTTTCCCGTTTTCAGAAATCAATTACAGCGCATCTATAGCAGCAAACTTTTAGCGGTGGAACTAATTTTTCGTTTTTAAGCGGCGCGAAGAAATGGGGGGGGGGGGGGGGCAGAATGGCAATCAGATTAGATCATACTTTCATTACAAAGAATCAATCTGAGAAAATGAATAAAAGTTTCTACAGTTTCAAAGTAACTGGATTCTCGTGTTTAGGAACTGGACAGACATTCATGATCAGGAGCAGAACAGACTGACCATAGACAAGGCCACAGGCGAGTACAACTTCGCCTGTCCATGCAACGACTTCGCCCAATACTACGCCAACCAGAATCAGAGGGTGAGTCTTAAAATTTTTGTGTACAAGTTTTAATCAAAAAATTGAAATGACTTAATTAAAAAATATTAAAAATTTGACATTTCGTTCTTTTTTGCCCTATTATGAAGTCATTTTGGACACCAGCCTAAGAAAATTCAAATAAACATTTTTTCCAGCTTGCGAAGCTTTTAAAACTCTTTTTGTCATTACAATGAAAATATCCTTAAGTATCTTCAAGTCTTCATGTACTAATTGGAGAAAAAATTTGAGTTATAGTTTCTGCATCATATTTTAAATAGTTATCGCAATTAGCCATAAAAACCTTCAAAAGTGCTGTATAATGAAAAACTTGCAATGATGATATTCAAGGGAACGGGATTGGAAATGAGCCTGGTACTTTTATGGCTTCATATTTTCAAATGTCTACATGTGCTATCTGGACCACAGATACTGGAATGAAGACTGACTTAAGAATATGAAGCTATGCATTTTCATGTACCTTGTTTAAAAGAAAACATATCAAGCCTCAAGCGTACAATCTCAGGAGCGTGTTTTACTATATAAGTTCTGATTCAAACTCCAAATCATTTGTTTATTTCTGGGCTGATTTGACGATTTCTCACCTAGGTCTACATGTACTACCTGGACCACAGATCCTCGACTGAGGGGTGGCCAGAGTGGATGGGCACTATACATGGGGCAGACTGCGAGTGGGTGTTTGGGAAGTTCCTGGACAGAAACAACACGCCAGAGGAGAAGAGGATGGCCAGACGAATCATGTGGTAAAAAAGAAAAAAAGAGAGTTTATTTCTTCAGACATACAAATACATTTACAAAATAAAAATCACAATTAAACTAAGCAATTAAATTTTGATAAACGTACGTATTATCTGAAGAGGATAGACTAAGGACAAATTAGATGCACACACTAAATGTCTACCCAGTATATACTGACTGAGACATAGAAGGTTAATGTGTAAATATAGATAATTCTTTAAGCAGCAAGTATTTATGTAAGTGGTTCTGGAACCTGATCTAAACTACATTTTATGATTGGATAATTTAGATATTTTACCAATGTAAAGTATTTAATTTTAACCAATCATGATCCATCTAACTAACAACCCACTTATTTGTAAGTGCTGAAGTTACTTGTAATTTCAGCACCAGAGAGATTTGAATTTAACTTAGAAATTAGTTGGACTCTCCCGAGCACTTCAGCAACCGCAATAAACCAGTATACCCTAGATCTATTGAGCCTAGCAGAGACTAGTTAAACAACCTGAGACTAGATAGTATAAGAGTAAGATTAGGATCGGTATTAGACTAAGAAGTTGCACGAATCTATCCGGCCGAAAATAAGATAGCGTGACGAGCAGACGGTGTACCCTATCCGAAATTACTCTATGAGTTAACCAACTCGGTTCTAACTCATCTGGTGCGACCATAAGTCTCGAACAAGACCTTAATAGCTTAGAATTAACCAAAATAGATTAGAAATTAGACAAAAACATTTACAAAATGTTATACGACAATAATTTAATCGAAATGTCTCTACGACTCAATAGATCAGAGCCAATATTCCGAACCATAACAGAACTACCCGGAATTGGAAGAAGACCTCGAACCAGAGACGACATACGACAAAGTAGAAACTTGCCATATAGCTATATGATAGTTAGGCAAAAACCAGAACAAACTTTTATATTTAGAATACTACTGGCAATGAATTTAGATTTTCATTTGCAAACATAAAATCTTGAAGTTAATCTTCAAAATCATTTCAGGCGCTAAACAAAATTATTAATATACAATAACGATTGATAAAAAGATCTAAGATCGTTTTCCTAAAATTCTGCAGTAATATACAAAACATGTTTGAAAAATATTTATTGAAAAATAAAAATAAAAATTAGTAGCATGACAATAAATGGTTAGTAATCATAAATCATCCTGTTGTTCCAGCTCCATCACCTAAAACATAACAGCAATCATAAACCCACTAATATCATCAAAACACTAAATTTTTCCTTTACACACATTTAAAATTTTATTAAAACTTAAATTCACTTAATTTTAAAACCAGATCATCAAGGCTTATCCTTGGATCTTAAATCATTTTCTACTTAATTAAATTTCAAATTTGATCATCAAGGCTTATCCTTGGATCAAACAGAACAACTTTGTTCTCCCCCACCCACTTAATTAGTGTCTAACGACCTCAAACGTCGATTCACTACCCAACCCTTTCTAAAGACCTAAGACTAATAGAAATTTTTAAACAAAACTAATCATTCAAATTAGGATAAACAGTGAAGAACTTCGGTTATTCATCCTTCACTTGACCCCCCCTCTTACCAGACCCAGGATAAATCTTAGACTTAGTAAGTTTAAAATAGTATCTAACGAACTACTCGCGTTCTAATTATACCTGAACCTTGTGGATCGATTTACTATTCTCCAACCCTTGAACACAATCACTACCCCTAAGTAAGATTAAGTAAGTTAACACCTTAACTTATACTAGCCACGAGAAAGTAAAGAATCATTCTTCGGAATCGATATACTTTTCTCTCCAACCCTGAACAAACAGACCCAGGTTAAGCTAACCAAAAAATCGTAAGAACTAACAGTTTAAGAAAATAGAAACCATTTAACAACCCTTTGCATCCGTCATTCTAAACCTTATGTCATTTAAAAACCTAGGAAATAAACAAACAATCGTTTTACACAATTGTGAAATAGATAACAAAAAATACGACCTTGTAATCACACCTCATACACAAACAGTTGGATACATTCGAACAAAACGACAAACACTAAAAAGAAAAATAATAACGAAACAAAGACAAATAACACGAAAAAGATTTTCAAAAAATCGAAACGCATTTTCAGAATCAGAAACCAATAGTTTAGACGAACTTTACAAACTAAAAGAATCAATAGATAAAAATTACCCACTTCACGATCAATTATATTTTTCTGACTCAGAAACAACTTCAAATTCATCAAAAAGAGGAAAAAGAAGAATAAAAAAGCAGTATAAACACAAACCAGTACATTTATACAATTGGAATCAACCAATTAGACACATTGATAATTACATATTAACAGTCATCGAACGAAAAAATGAGCTCAACGCACACCCCAGGTGAAGAAAGTCCAGATGATGATGAAATCTTTCCTTTTATAGTAGACGCAGATACTGATAGAGGACAACACATATTTTGTCAAAATTTACTCGTAAATTTATTTGAACCCGGAATTAGTCCATGTAAAACAGAGTTCCCAGATGTAAAAATCAAAAGACAAATCATAGACCACTACTTAAAAGATATATGCAACATAACACAACAGTATGGAATCTACTCCATAGAATTCACCTCACCAAACCATAATAATAGAAAATATACAATTCAAACAGACGATCTTGATTTAGAATTTTCAAAAGTTTTTTCAGAATATATAAAAAGCATCCAAAATCATAACTCACAAAGAGCAAACTCCATATTCACCAATGAAGTTTTCGCAATAATATATAGTTATATTTCGATATTAGAAAACGAAATCCCAATAACAAATGTCTCACCGACAGAAACATCTAAACATTTAAGAGTACGACATGAAATCACACTACTCTCTAGTTATTTAAACATCATTAAAGAAAATTTCACGAAAGACGACGTTTCACAACATACAAAACACGATCTACAAAAAATTTTGGCATGGTTCATAATAGATTATTTCACACACAATATTGATTTAATTGCACAAGCAAGAAAAAATTTTAGACCCCAAAACTCGAACGATGATACCGCTATCACAGAACAATCAGATTATGTTTGGGACCCCGAATGGTCTCATCCCGCATTTATAAGCTTCCCACAATCAATCTCAAGTCAAGCAATAAGTACGATATCTTACATAAGAGATTATGTAAAAGTAATACCATTAACCATTGATGCAACACCATTAAACTATAATACATTTTTGCCCGATACACAAAATAATAGTTTAAACTCTACAGTTATACACAATGAAAACCTCAATGGAACTAGGAATCTTACTCAACAAGATATCCAGACACCATCACACTTCATAAATGAAGAAATTGTACACACAACAACTACACAACAAAGTATTTCACCAATACGCCCAAATTTAACAACACCAAGAAATACAAATCCTTCACAAACACAGGTAACCTTACAATCAACCGTTAAACCTTCGGTTGCCCCTAAATATTCACATATGGATTACCAAACATACAGACCCATGACAATACCATCAAAAACACGCAAAACATTCACTAGAAACAACTTTACAGACCATAATTATAATTATACACATCCATCAAAAACATATAACCAACCACAAAGAAATTTTAACCAATATACAAGATCTCGAAATTGGGATAACCCAATGACCCAACCTAATTCAATAAATTTCCAAACAAATCCTCCACAGGATCACAGTGAAAATTACCCATTTTTTCAACAAAATAAAAATAAAAAACAGACATCTTATCAAATGGATTATTTATCCTCAGATGATGATTTCTTACAACCAGATATATTTGCACCAAATACTCAAGAATATCGTAGACAAGGAATACAGAGAACACGTACAAATCATAGAAATTTTTCTCCACAACCAATAGATGCACAACATCAACAACCAATTCAACAACAAAATCTAATTAATACACAATCTTTTCAACCAATTCAACAACAAAATCCAATGACTGCACACTCGTATCAAGCATCACAAATGCAAAATGAAATACCACTCCCATATTATCTCCAACAACATGAAATAACAAGAAACCAACTTTCGAATTTTTCTCAAATGCCAAATGCAGCAGAATCATTACAAATGACAATGAATCCATACCTTATGGGTGGATCATCAATAACATCAAACAAACCTTTAATGGTTTTCACAGGAACAGAGCCTGAATACTCTGTAGAAGATTATTTAAATGCAGTAACAGCAAACCTGATTTTAAATATTGGACCTGAACCAATTAATACGCCACTACATCAAAATTGGATACATCGACGCACAGCGTTAATACAAACAACCTTAGATGGCGCAGCCCAAAAATGGTTTTCAGTACTACCTCTAGAAATAAAATCAAACTGGAAAAGGTTTACACAGGAATTTTCAAAAATGTTTGACTCCGAAAGAAACAAACAACAACAAAGAGTTTTATGTAATGAAATTCGCAGATTACCAAACGAAACCATCAAGCAAATAGCAGTACGAATCGAAACACTAGTTCGAAAAGCATATTCATTAAATACACATGACTATAAAAACACAAAGATGACAGAAATCTTAATGATGACCTTAACACCACAATTAAGGAAAATAGCAATAAAAAAGAGAGCATCCCATCCTTCTTCAATTCGAGAACCCGATTTAGATTTTCGAAAACTAGTAGACAAATTAGAACAAGCAGAAATCACGATGAAACTAGAAGAAACGGAAAATCTGAAACTACAATACGTTAACAGAATTGAAACGACTCCCACTAATATTAATAATATACAGGAATCAGAGACAGACCTCGTTGAAAAAATCACTGAAATACTCAATATTTATGAAAAGAACCCAAACTTCAAAGGCAAACCATCTTTCAAAAAATGGTGTAATTATTGCCGACGATACGGACATAGTATTTCCGAATGTAGACAAAAACAGCAAGACAATCAAAATAAACCTCAAAAATATAAAGAACCAAATAAATCATTCTATCAATACATGAAAAAAGATCAAA